GCAGTATGTTCTGGACTCCATACAGGAGGGTTTTTTCTAAGACGGCTGTATAAAATTGCTGCATCAGTAGCAAGGTTAGGATAGTAATCATGAATATAGTTTAAACTTCCGAGAAATCTCTGCAATTGTGTTTTATCTTTTATTTCATCTGGAAATTTAGAGGCAAATTCCATACTTCGATTAATAGGAATAATAGTTCCATTATGAATATTATGTCCTAAAAATCTAACAGTTGTCTGAAAAAGTTGCATTTTAGGGGTAGAAATAACAAGACCATTTCTGGAAATAACATGCTTAAAAATGTTAAGATGTTTCATATGTTGATCAATAGAGGATGAAAAAATTAGAACATCATCTATATAACGTATAGCAAATTCTGTATAAGGATTAAAAATATCATTCATTATATGATGGAATTCAGATGGTGCATTTTTTAATCCAAATGGCATCACATTCCATTCGTAATGCCCAAAGGGGTAAAAGCAGTTTTATAGCGATCATTTTCTACAATTTGAACCTGCCAATATCCTGACTTCATATCAAATTTAGAAAATATCACTGCATCCTGTAATCTATCCAACAAATCTTTTTTGTTTGGTACCGGATATCTAATCCACTGTAAAACTTCATTCAAAGGTTTGTAATTAATTACTAACCTAGGAACACCACGTTCAATTTCTGCATTTTTATTGACATAGAAAGCAGTACAACTCCAAGGAGATCTACTGGGTCTTATTAATTTTTTCTGGAGAAGAGTATTAATTTCATTTTTGCAAAGTTCCATATACTCTTTTTTCATTTGACTGAGACGAGCCTTTGTTGGAATTTTCTTTTCATTAAAAGTAGGCTCATAAGGCAATGAAACCATGTGTTTCTTGCGGTCCCAAAAAGCATTAGGAACATCACTGCAAATTTCTTCCTGGAATTCTTTTTCAAGTAATTTAATTTTTTGCTGAAAAGAGGATTGCTGTAATCTTTGTTCTGTAGTCAAAAAACTAACTTCTTTTTGAAGAAAATTTATTTGGTTTTGTTTTGAAGAAACTAAATCAGTAATTTGATCTAATTCTTTTGTGTAAGGTGAAGTGATAAATTCAAAAACAATGTTTTGATTATCAAGAGTTGTATGAATACCTATTGTGTCAATTTTGGTAATAGGCATTAAAAGATTCAGGAAAGGAGTACCAAGAATTATGTTTTGCGCCATATTTTTGATTAAAACAAAAGAGGTTTTTAAACATAATCCTTGATTACAAATTAAAACTTCTGGAAGTTTGTAATCAATATACAAACTGTTACCACTGGCACTGGTAAGTGACTGGCTTGTTTTCTGAAAGTACTTGGTAGGGACCAAGCCTTCTTGTATGCAATTCATATCTGCACCACTATCAACCAAAGCAATTGCATCTTTGATTATATAATCTGGTTGAATCATGAATGTGATACGAATATACCATTTTTGAAATGTTATTCTATTTAATAACATTAAATATTCTGGATCATTTTCAGACACTTCATTTTTGACTTTATCCTGTAATTGATTATTAATCTTTTTAATCTGTGACTGAACAATAAGATTTGAATTCTGTAAATGTTTAATTTCTACTTTTAAAGCATTAATTTCCATTTTTAGTTCTTGAACTGTAATGGGTTTTTCTGTACTGGAAGTCATAACTTGACTGCGGTTAAAAACTTCTTTCATGCTATAATGTTTAGGGGGAAGTACTTCTTCTTTCTTCTGATTATAGCACATTTCAAGAAATTTTAATTTTGTAGCTGGATCTTTAATGCTATCAGCAATTTCTAAAAGATTTTGTTCGGAATCGGTAAGGACATTAATACTGGGACCAATATTAAGTCCATTCATTTCAACAATAGCTTTCCAATAGTTTGCTTCATCAAAAACTTGGTTAACTGAAGATTTACATGGGCAAAGTTCCTTTTCTGGATTATCATCAGATTCTGGATCTGAACTATCTGTATAAATGGCTGCTAGCTCGTTATTAGAGGGTCCTGATGATGAGCTAGAATCAGAAATTAACTGTAATATCTTCTGTTGTAGATCGCCATCTATTGCTAATTCATTGAGTTTAGATTGAATTTTAACTCGGCATTTATTAACATAGTGACCTATCTGTCCACATTTATAACATTTAATACTGGATTTATTCTTCTGAAAATACTTTCCTTTAGATTTAGATTTATATCTAGGTTTAGAAGTCTGAGGTTGTGTCTGGATCTTAGACTTAGAATACTTTCTATGTTTCTTATAGGGTTTGGAATAATTTTTGTGTTTTCTTTGCTTATGGGGATACTGGATTGGAGATTCATAAGCAAATTGTTCACAAAATTCTCCTAACTCTTTTCTTCCTGTAATATGCTGTTGTTTAAGTTGTTGCTGGAGTTTAAGGTCATTACAAAGTGCAAGACCTTCAGAAGTGACCAGACTGATGAGTTGGCCATAAGTATACTGGTAATATGGTATGTCTATAGAACGATGAAAATCTCGTAATTTCTTACGGACTCGTTCAGCAAAGAGAGTTGGAAGGCCATCTAGGAATTTAGCTTTCCAATGGTCAGCACTACCATCAGCTCTTTGCATAACTTTCATCAGGAAAACATCTTTATACCATCGAAAATGGGATAAAGAGGGACATCTGAGTTTCATTAATAGTTCCTTATTACGATCAGATATGCTGGAAGCTTGGCCAATAAAATGGGTAATAATTGTATTGATAAGAGTATAGACAGCATCTTGTTCTTCTCTTTCAATACTTGCAGTGGCAGGATCAGTACTGGAACTAGTAGGATCAATTTCAATGACAGTACTTGTGGATGAAAGGATTTCATTACATTGATTAGTAGTGAGAATATTATCCCACCATCCTTTCAGAACACCGGTAAAACCACTAACAATGTAGCGGGCAACTTGATGATCAGTATTGTTATTTTGTTTGCAAACAGTAGAAAACATAAGCATCTGATGGAGAAGTTCATAGATCTGGTATTCAGAAAGACCATTGATATTCCATTCATAAATGGTATTACTATGGTAAGAGTGTTGGGTCTGGAAAAAATCTTCTTCGTAAAGAAGATCCATAGGACTAGGCCTAGGATAATAATATCGGTGAGGAGCAGATAAGGATAATTTGGCGGTACTGGGTCCATAAGTAACCCGGTTAACTGAAGAGGGTTGCTCCGAGGGTTGGAAGCTTTGCTGGATCTCAAGAATCTCTTGAGGAGACAAAGTATCAAAAGATTCTAAATTAGGAGGGTCACTGGAGAGTACATTAACCTGAGACGTACTAGTCGGAGGTGGTTCACTGATATGCAAATTTTTAATGCGGGAAAGAAGAGTATCCATAAATTCCGTTTCTTCTTTGGATTTTAATTTAAAATCTTTTAAGACTGGAGTAGGTTTAATCAATACTGGCTCAATAGGAGCAGGGGGTTTGGGTTCTAATTTGCAGCTTTTCTTAACATGGTTTACCATTTCTTCAATTCGTGTAAGCTGCTTGCCTGCTGTTTGACAGAAAAGGTTTGTATAATTATTTTGTTTGAAAACAGGAATGATATCTTGTATATGAACGGGATCTTTGTATTGGCTCCTATGGGGTATGTCTGTATAGGCTGCGATTGTCATAGGTTTGGTATTTACTCCTGTAGGCTGAAGTTCTAAAGCTTGGGTAGGAGGATGGATAGTAACAATCTCTCTACCATCAGTAGTAAGCCATTTCTGCTGGATTCCTTCTAAAACATTTAGTTGAGAATCTGGAGGGAAAACATTCTGAACGTACCATAAAGGAAAAGGATATAAAACTTGAATTTCCTCAAGGTAAGAATAATACTGAATTTTATACTCCTGTAATTGTTCCTTATTATGGACAATAAAATACCATTTTCTAAAGTCGGAATACTTATCCTGTAAAAGATTCTGATTGAGAATCTTGCGGTTTTCACTTCCTGGTGTAAAATCCATCTAAAGTCTGAAATCCATATCACTGGCTGTAGGGCTGTACTGGCCTTTACTGGATCCTCTTGAATTAGGGTAAATATTTGGAGGTATTGGTGGATCATAGATGCCATGAGGGATCTGTTGATTAGAATACTGGACGCCTCGAATTATTGGATCCTGATCAGTTTCCTGTGGTTCATCTGAATTAGGTCGGGAGTAAGATCTAGAAGGTTGTCCTTGAAATATGGCATCTGGAGGTTCAGAATAGGATTGTCTTGAGGATTCTGGATAATCAACCTTGTAGGATTGATGAGAAGGAGCAGTTCTAAAACTAGCATTGGACATACTCCTGGTTAACTGGATTGGAGGTCTCTGGAATTGAAGGTAAACATTACCTTGATGGGTCTGGATTATGTCATCTAGATTGTGTCGGACAATTGGTCTGGTTGGAACAGCATTTGTTATCTTCCATCTTTCTGGAAAAGATATTTTTTCCCATTCTATTATTTTGGGCACTGCAACTTGGGTACTGTAAAGGTTAGTATCAATCAACACGGTTTGTCCATCAATACTTTTCTTCCTGACATAAGGATTTAAAGTAGATAAAACTTTTAAATAAATTCTGGAAATTACCGAGAAAGGTGGAGATCCGGGAAGATACTCGTAACCATGAGTAAGAATTCTGAATTCTAAAACTTTAGATAAGTTTTGGTCAGAAAGAGCAACACTGAAATTTGGATATATATCAAAATATACTGGACCATGGGCTAAACTGGTTTCCATAGCACCCATGAGAGATGCTCTCCAATTAGTACACCTACCATCTCGTAGAGTACATTGCATGCTGGTATTTTGACCTAAAGGTGTCAAAGGTTTCAAAGCAATCTGGACAAGTCCTATATGGATATACTTATATTCTTTGAAAAAAGGTATTAAATCCTGTACACTTAGTAGATACATCAGTGTATCATTATTATTAACTGGAGCTGCATGTTCAAAGGTTTTAATAATCTTTTTACTGAAAAAATTTAAAGTACCAATCTTATAGATGGCCTTTGGATCTACCTTTGGAATTGTCCACTTATCTAGAGTTTCTTTGACTTCCTGGTATGCAACAAGCTCTCTGGCTTCTGAAGTAGAGGCTTCTGTTTCAGCTATTGTAGGGGCTACTGTATATTTTGATATACAGTATATTTTGATATAAGTATATTTTGATATAAGTATATTTTGATATATTTTCAAGCTCTCTGTTTTAGCCCATGGTTCAGTATATTTTGATATATATCCAAATTTCAGTGTTGCTCTTTCTGACCAAAACTTATCTAAAGTTTTAGAATTCAGAATTCTTACTCATGGTTACGAGTATCTTCCCGGATCTCCACCTTTCTCGGTAATTTCCAGAATTTATTTAAAAGTTTTATCTACTTTAAATCCTTATGTCAGGAAGAAAAGTATTGATGGACAAACCGTGTTGATTGATACTAACCTTTACAGTACCCAAGTTGCAGTGCCCAAAATAATAGAATGGGAAAAAATATCTTTTCCAGAAAGATGGAAGATAACAAATGCTGTTCCAACTAGACGCAGTCTTCTATCCCCTCAACATCTAATGCCTTGGATGTCCTTGAATCGTGTGATATGGACGAGTTAGGAAATAGAGATTCAAGTCAAGAGTTGAGAAATAGAGGGAGTCCATCTCCAAGTGATCCTAGTTATGGGGAGACTTCAAAAGACGATAACAAAAGAAAACTTAAAGCGAAACTTCATGACTTGAAGAATGCTAGAAGGAAATTCTGAATCCTTGTTTTGTTGGGAATGTTGTGCTTGTTTTCTATAAGCTCAGTTCGTTTTTTGATGGAGTAGTTTATTTTGTTTATTTTTTGATGGAGTAGTTTATTTTGTTTATTTTTGTGCTCCCATCAAAAGCTGTGTGTTAAATTTTATTGTATATTTTTTTTTTTATTATAATATGACTTACTTATCAAAAAAAAAAAAAAAAAAAAAAAAAAGAAGAAAAGAATGCTCTTCAGAAGTAGTTGCTGATGTGGAGAGTACCGAGAGTTTTATCCTTGAAAATCGCTAAAAACTTTCACACGTAATGACTTGAGAGAGAGAGAAAGAGAGAGAGTGAGAGAGAGAATGAAAAAGTGTCATTACTTTATAGGAGTGGATACTGAGAGCTTAGATGAAGATTTGTTCCACTGTTATATGAATAAGATAATAAATAAATAAAAAACAATGAAAAAGAGTAAAAGTTTGAAGGAGTTTTCTTAAGTGTGCAAGTGCACACCATGTGCCACTTACACAAAAAGTGTAAGTGTAAGGTGTAAGTATAAGTATAAGGTGTAAGTGTAAGGTGTAAGTGTAAGGTGTAAGGTGTAAGTGGGTTGCACATGGTGTGCAACCTCAAAAAAGGTGTAAGTGTAAGGTTTAATTTTTTACAAAAAGTGTAAGTGTAAGGTGTAAGTGTAAGATATAAGGTGTAAGGTGTAAGTTGCACACCATAACCAAACCCAAGTTTGAAAGATACTTTACTTGCTTATAGCATATATATCATATATGCTTTGATTGTGCGTATGAGAGAGTGTTTAAACAACTTTCATTTCAAGATTCATTCTATTTTATTTTGTTATTATAAATTATAAATATACTCTTTGAGATTTATTTTAAATATTTTTTTTTATAATTTTGAAATCATATCTTATCCTTTAAAATTTTTCGTTGCATAACAAATAACTCATTTTATTAATCAATCATTAAATCAATTAATAGATTTTAATGATATCAGTAATATATTTCAATTAATAGTTTTGATAATTTTTCTTATTGTATAAAAGCACAATTATGAATTTTATTCTTTCTGTTAACTTTATTAAATGAAAAATTCTGAAAGCGAAGTTTTACAATTTCTACAATCACAAAGAGCCCTCCATATTTTAATTTTAATTTTAATTTTTTTTTAAATCTTGAAGAAAAAATCTTTATTGCAAAATCAAAAAAAATAAAAATAAAAATAAATTCAGTACAGTGATATAACAAAATCTAAAAAAGAGATAAATAACTTCCATAAAATGAAGGATCTAAACAATTTTAAAATGTTTATCACACTTCATTATTATTCCATTATATGAAATCCCTTTTTCTAGTTTTTTTTTTTTTCCTCTTCCTGGTTCCCCATTATATACCTGTAGATTACTCATCTCCAATTGTTGCTCAAAAAATCTTTTGACCTATCGCCACTTTGAAGATTCAATATAATTAATTTCACTTCCTTTAAATAATCTATTTGTACTAATGGTGATTTCGTTAAATAGAGACATAACCTGACAGTTATAGATTTATTTATTTATTTATTTTTCTATAGAACTAGATTGCTAAGATCTAGTAAAAACGAAAAAGAAAAAACAGAGCATTGAAAATACATGAGGTTAGGTGCCAAGGCTTTTCAACAGCCCCCTGCAATCCTTTATGGAAAATGTTATGCATCCCAAATGGATTATCAAATTTTTTAACAAGTCTAAAAATAAATAAATGTCTAAAAGATTTATCAATTTTACATAATTTTATTTTTTGTAGGTAGAAATAATTTTTTAAAATTCAAAAATATTTGTTTGACATTTATTTTTGTCAAATTAGTTTATATTTTATCAAATTGACAATTTTACCCTTGAAAAATCTAATTATATATTCAATTGTCCTTATTTGGAACAAGATTCAAAATTCAGGGTCAAATGTGTCACAATTGAAAAGTCAGAGACCAAAGTGACACAAGCCCCAAATTATAGGGACTATTTGTGTAATTTGCCCTTATTATTCTATTATATGAAATCCCTTTTTCTAGTTTTTTTTTTCTCCCCTTCTTGGTTCCCCATTATATACCTATAGATTACTCAACTCCAATTGTTGCTCAAAAAATATTTTGACCTATCGCCACTTTGAAGATTCAATATAATTAATTTCACTTCCATTAAATCATCTATTTGTACTAATGGTGATTTCGTTATATAGAGACATAACCTTACAGTTGTAGATTTATTTATTTATTTATTTTTCTATAGAACTAGGTTGCTAAGATCTAGTAAAAACGGGAAAGAAAAAACAGAGCATTGAAAAAACATGAGGTTACAGAGGCTTCTCAACAGCCCTGCAATCCTTCATTAAAAATGTTATGGATCCCAAATGTTTAACCAAATTTTTCATATAGTTGTGAAACTCTCACAAATCACATACCCACACCATGTAAGAGATTTAATAGAAAATTTGATAATTTATTTGAGATTCTTAACATAATTGTTAGAAATTGGGCGCCCATGTGGCATGACCCTTTGAACCTTATCCATGTAAGTTTGAATTTGAATTCAAAATTTAGTTAGATAACCACTTAGGATATCCATATCTATCATATCAACTGATATGGATAGATGAGATATTATCCTATATATCTGATATGATATGGGATATGGGTGATTAAGAGAAAAACAACGTATGTTGTATGTTTTTCCGATATATTGACTCTCTCCTAAAAATACAACGATCAAGAGTCATTTTGCACTGTGACTTGTGTGGGTGATATTCATTTTGTAATATCACTCCATTGTTGGGTTAATTGATCAGATTCAGGAAGCACGTGATTTACCCGCGAGATCCTTCAATTCAGACTCTGTAGAAAAATGTATGACCATAATTTTTCATCCGCTGCGTTTACCTTAGATTTACATTGGTATCAGAGCATGAATGGGTATTTTCGTGTTTTCTCTAATCATGTGTATATTTTATATATATATATACACATTATATGCATGAATGTTTATAAAGGAGGACAATGTCAACTCTCATTAGATTATAGCTTTGTTTTAAGCGTGGTTGGTACCGTTAGACTCAGAATTAAATTTTTTATCTTTCGTAAAATTTTGAAAATTTTATGAAAGTAAAAAATATTTTTCCTGAAATAATAATTTATTATTTCTGGTTTAAAATGCATCTGGTGTTGCATGATTAAGTTTTTGGGGCTGAATTTTTTATTGTAGACTACTGTTGTAGTTTATTATTTACTGGTATAGTTATAGCATTTTACCAGATTTTGAAATATTTATTTCTAATTTTATGTGTGTTTATTAGTTATTTAAAATTCTAGAAAATTCCAGAAAATATTAGAAAATTCCAGAAAATTTCAAAAGTGATATAGTTTCTGTTATGGGATAATTTGAATATTAAATACAACATATTGTTATTTTTTGCCTAGAGTTTCTAATATGTTGTAATTAGAATAGCATGATTAATTGTTATTTGTTTAAATTCCATTATTAATTGTGACATAGCATGAGTTGGTTGTGAATCTACATTATGATGCTATTGTATGGAATTAGAATTTTTTATCATGCTTTTAGCCATGCCATAGTCAGTGGGAGGTTATTCGATTGAGAGAAATCTTTGTAGATTAACTCCCGAAACTAATATTTTGCGCATAAATTAAATTAAAATTTGGATAATTGTCACCTGTGGTGCAATAGATGATTACGAGCATAGCGGATTTTCGATCTTGTGACTTGTGTAATATTGTCACTATTTAACTTAGATTTTTGTGACAAAATTATATTATGCTAATCAAATTAATCCCAATACAAATTTCTCTCTAAATTGACTTAGCTTATGGAAGTTAATTGGTTGACCTATACTTAGTAAAGATGTTCAAATGTGAACAATGTAATCCCATTCTTTAGATGAGCAAAAATCTTGGAGACTTTAGGTCAAACCTTAATTGAGCCAAAGTAAGGAAACATGACTCAAAGTCGCCGTGGTTTTGTTGCCTTGTTTGGCATAATAAAAACTAATGTGTGCGCTATGGTTAGCGGCACGCTACATAGTTTTGGTTGGCAAGTTTTGGAGTTATGAAATTAGTAAGCCCTCAATAGATCTGTATATGATCTTGACTATGGAGCTACGCGGATTGACTTTGTAATTTGACTTGTAAATAATGTTACATCATTGGATGAAGTAACATTCAAGAGTCACATCATCCAAGAAATGCGAGCTTAAATAAATTAGTCATTAAGTGTAAGACGAGTAGCCAGTATGAGCAGTGTTTTGCTCTCTACCCAATTATTGGGAATGGATGAAGCAAAATTTCACGCACTATAATAGTGTGCATTGAAGTATTGCTTGAAGTTAAAAGATTAGCGCTTAGTAGCAGCAAAATCTATTAACACTAAGTGAAAAGATTAGCGCCAAGTGGCTACAGAATCTATTAGCATGGCCAACTTGTCTAAGTCTGGACACTTACTATTTCCACACTTGAGTGTGAGACATGATGAGGTGCTTCTTTGTGTGATTCCTTTACTAGGCTAACGTTCTGTTTTGAATAACGTTTACCACTAAGCGCAAACGTTGCAG